CCACTATAGGGAACCCAGTAACACTAACTCGTGGTTTTGCAACAGAATTTAAACAGACCCCGTACACTGTTATGTTTGTATAACCACTTAAAATAGTTGATTGTGTGGCAAATGATGTGATCTCTGGATTTTCCCTGTATTCAAATGTATCGCTCAAATGATTTAACAAAATAATTTTATCATTGTCAAGTGTATTGACATTTGATGTCAAATTAAACGTAAAAGTCTCGTTATAATTAATTAATATGTTGACAGTGCCGTCCAGAGTATCAAAAGTGGATTCACTTGACCCCGAATTGCATTTTATCGTTGATTTGTTAAATTCTAACTATTAATATAAATCATTGTTAACAGGTTAAATTAAACAATAGGATATTACTTCATTGCATTCGATGCCTGATAATAGCACCGTTCGTTTAAAACCGAGGTCCAGATGATTGCCATGAATGGTGACAATAGTACCACCAGCAATTGGACCAAAACCGGGTGTTATGCCATGCACCATGGGCTCGATGCACCGGTATTTCACATTTGATTCCGTCCCACCGTTTCGTTCTAGGTACATAATCCTATCTGAAGGGTTATATAAATTTTATAAGTTTTGTCTAATTAAAATATAAACTTATACAGTTATACAATGATGAAATATAATTTATTTAATACGGACAATCGTATATCAAATGTGAAATTTGATTATATAAACTAAAACTGCATTTTAAATTTTAAGAAATAGTATAACTAAAAATGTAATTACCTTCGTGTTGCTTAGTAAAAAGACATATAACCTCGTCTACTTTCCACGAAATTAACTCACATATTATATGACCAAATTGAATTAGTCTGTTATATTTTCCACATTTAACTAAATGATCGCCTTTTATGGTGATAATTGTTGATACAGTAAAGAAATCATACTTTTCTTCGTAATCATATATAACTGGGGGCAATTAGAAATGTTAGCGATTCGAGTACCTGTGCGGTACTCATCTCTATCAGCACAATAATTGTGCTCAGGGTACCATTTGCAATCCAATTGATCACTGAATGTCGTGCAACTCCGACATGTAGTGTAATCATGACATGACCTAAAAGGTATACTAACTAACCAATGTCCAACCAATACGAATAAGCGCTCATGTTTTAAATCAAATACCCAATCTTTGCCAACCGTTTTCAAACGTGGGTCATTGTCACGTAGATTAATTTCGAAAATTGATTTGTCATTGTTGTTCAATGGAGCAGGCTTATCGAGAAATAATTTATAAACATTATAAAGGGTGCCCAAAGCAGCTACAGTAAGATTATTTTGAATGTCGACCGCAAGGAATCTAATAGATTTATTGTCTAAAATACAATTATAATTAACAAAATAAGGTCTAATTTGAATTGATTCCTTTCTTACCAGGCCCCTTTTTAAGATATAGTCCATTGAGCGGATTATTGATTTCAATATAAGGGTTGATACTTGAACCACAATACTGATTGGCAATGTTGCCACCATTTGAATTCATCAGATGGACCCCGGTACTACTATCGGCGCCACCATGACATTTTTTAATGGCATTATCCATCGCGCGGTTAATTTCTCGTAAACTGAATGCACAAATCAATGACTTTGGATGCTCATTGGCATAAGGTTCACTAGGTGCAATCATCGCTAAAAATAAGGTCTCAGCATTCGATTCATTATCTATTCCTAACTTTCCGTAGTTAGCTTGGCCAATTTTGCTCAAGTGCCCTGCGGTGGCCCAATTGTAGACCACGTAACTTGACCAATTACATTGTAAAGGCATTTCCACGTAAGAATTTATTTGTTGATCTTCTCTACAGAGCCTGGTGATTTTTGTTGTATATTTGTATGTTGGGTATTTTATTCCATTATATTCCATTATTTCTTTCGATAAGAAATATACATAGTCTGTAGTATTAAAACCGTAAATATATGTAATGCCTTTGTCGTCAATAGGAGTAACACGGTGGTATGAATTATTGTTCACCAAAAGAAAACCTTAATTTACAGTTTTCAAAAATATCAAAAATTAATATTTTTTCAATTTTAAAAGCAATTCCGTTAAAATTATTTCATATATATAACATTGATGCAAAAATACTCGCGTCGACATTTATTTAAAAACTGCGAGTTAAAACAACAAAAAATATAATTTTTCAGGTTTTTGCTAACTTAGAAAAAAGTTTTTTATTTATTTATTATTTTATGTATCGTAAATCCACTTTTTGTCAAATTTCGATTATTAGTCAAATTATAATTATTAGTATCATTTCTAAAGTTTTCCATATTTCATTACTTATCAACTTAATTATTATTAATTATAAATTTAAATGTGAATCACAACTAATAGGCTTAAAGTTTAAACTATTAATGTTTGTATTAGAAATAGTTTTCTTTTCCTCTGGAAAGCCTTTTCTATTCATTCTTACTCTTACCCTCAAAATAAACAGTTTATTTGATTACCTCGTGTTTCACTTAAGCCATGCCTCGGCCGACAGATTATTCTGACAGCCCGAGGAGTGGTTTCCTCGAACGGGCCTAAGCCTTGCCAGTCCTCTGGACGGGTGGGACTGATCGGGAGATCTTGATTCTGATCGCTATCGATCGAAATCAACGATAAGAGTCGGGTCAGATAGTGATAGTCTTATATAGTCTGTCACCAGAAGGCAGCACTTGTTCACAACCAGAAGTGCTAAACAATTGATACCATAAGTTAGGCTATCGTGTAAAGCCTTCGAATAGCAGTAACTTTTGAACAGTAAATCCGTAACCGCCGACAAAACTACACCCAATACCTCGTCGGACATTATATTATCAACAGTTATTAGTCCAATTTTACGGGTTTATCATAGATGTAATAATTGTCTAAATCAATGGTAAAATATAATGTTTGAGATGCTTCAGAACAGTTATATGACGAGATATTTGAAAAATTAAAAAGCAGACCTTGTTTATTCTTCAACATCTATCCAATGTGCTAGTTACATTTACCCTGAGACTTGCAATAATTGTACAATAAAATCGCCATTTCCTCCCTATGCTCCATGTTAACAAAAATCTGAAAAATTCTGAATCGATAGAGAATTGAATTATCTACATTTTGCATATCATAACTTTGTTCTAGCTCATTTGGTTTATTTTAAAAATTAATGGAAATTAGGGTTCAATGAGATATCCGGTCTCCCAGTGATGAACTTAAACGCTTTTTAGATAAAATCTATCAAGGGTATGTACCCTTTAATTTTGATATTTTTTAATGGTACCCTGATCAACTCTGTATCTCTTATAGTTTTGCTCTACAGCTTATACCAGTGCTAGTAACATACAGGTGCTGATACAAAGTTATAACTTCTGCGCCTTGTAGACTATAAAAATTGTAAACAATTATACTTTTTGTTCTGTTTTAACTAGCACAGTTTTTAAATAAAGGTCGACGCGAGTACTTTTTTCATCGCTCCATTATTTATAAAATTCGTCTTTATTGTAGCGACTTAGATTCTAAAGTCAAACGATCTTGTTTATAAAATTATTCCCTGTTAAAGTTTACATAACTGAATGTGTCCAAGCGCTTGTCACATATATTTGGTATACATTTAAAAAAATTAATTTCACAATTTTAATAAGTTACACTACCAAATAAGGAATTTTCATATGCATCCCCTTATTGATTTAGCATTTAAGTAATATTAATTTACATTTCCCGATTTTAGACGACGTGTTTTGTTGCAAAATATTTGTTAGTTTTGTTATTTTAAACTTAACCTTGTTATCGATTAATAATTTTCTCGATATAAGCGCACTATTGAGATTGGACCGGACATTTGCTGAATTTGCCACGAAAAGGTGCTTTTTCATATTAGCGGACGACGAAAAGAAAGCTATATTATTTCTATTATTAAAAAAAACTATTATTTCTACGAAATAATTCTAAATCCTCATTTAAATGGTCGTAGAGAACGAATGTATTTGTCAAATCCGACGCATTGTTAAAGTAATAACATATGTAGCGATTTGTAACACCGCATGCCAATAATCCTGGCTTATCAGGGTCATCGTAATTTAATGTCAGAATTGTGTTATGATAATCATTTAGACACCAACTGTCCCCAAGGCATGTTGCATTAACGGTCGGATCCGGTCCAGTAGTAAATGATTTCAAAACACTTAAATCTTGTGCATTGATACGGTATATGCGATTTGTACCACCCACAATTAACTCTTCATTGGAATAGTTAATGTCAATACTATATAAATCGCCCTCGGTGAAGTATTTCTCTATTTTATTGTATTTTGTAGTTGAGTTATTCGTTGATAAGATTGCTATCGGAGAATGTATATTGCACATTATATATGTTAATATTATTAAATGAATCCAAAGCACATTATTCATTATTGAAATGAATTGTCAATATATTATACACTTAAAAATTAGATCTAGTAAAATTAGTAATGTTACAAGTATTACTACGTGCATTAAGCGTATAGGACTATGATTCTCAAAGTGCAAGTCCGAGCAACATTAGTTACGAAACTGTACATTTAATATAAGTCAGTATTTATACTCATAATACTCAATGTTTTGTCATAACTTACCAATCTAATCATCAAGTGCATGTAAACATAGCGCGCCTATGTGTTAAGCACACCTGTAGCACATTAAGTACAGTACAATATATTTATAACATACAAAACTTTATTTGACTAAAAACAATACATTTAATACGGTTTTGTTTTTCGTATTTACCTTGACATTTGAACATAACTAATAACTTGAAACAATGTATTACAATGTGTGTTATCTTAACTCCAATATCCATCTAAGGTCTAAATCTAATACAATAGTATTAAATAGATTTCTTATTATTATAAACAACTTATTAATAAATAATTACTCATTAATACTGATAAATAATTATTTCATATTTTGAATGTAATAATTAAAAATGAATCAATATTCATGATATCATATTTCTGTATTATTTTCAAGTGAATGCACTATGAATATAGTAAGAACATAAACATATTAATAGCGATTAGCCTGGAGCAATTTGAACTAATTTTCGGTTCAAATTTACTATATGATCAAGTTAAATTTATGTTTCATATACGATATTTTCCGAATTGACATTTATGAATACAATATTATTAAGTCTATTTTAATAACATAATACCAGATCAAAACTGATTTCCACTTATCAATAACTAGGTAGTTTGATCCAGGACTGAATACCATAAAATTCAATAATTTTTCCACTCATTAACTGGTCATTAAAAGTCTACATTGAATTGAACACCAATTAGAGGACAGTTGTCTCAGAATATAACACAAACTACAGTATAATACGATAGGACAGCCCAGGTATCATTGCAACGTGCATTGTTGCTTTGGAGTCGAGTCCATCAAACTCATTGTTTTGAATTCTGTAGATCACGTGTTGAGTCCGATCACCACCGATGCCGTCATTGAAAGCGTGTCGAGGGGTATAGTATTTGGCACAAACAGCCTTTCCATTGCCACTCCAGCCCTGAGTGATTGAATTTTTTGAATTCTGTAGATCACGTGTTGAGTCCGATCACCACCGATGCCGTCATTGAAAGCGTGTCGAGGGGTTATCATAAACCGTGTTTGTCGGAAAGGTAACGGTGAGGTCGGGACTCACTAACTTAGCGGCTGTTTGTGTTAGACCAGCAGCCAGAATACGACTTCTCAAACCAATTGGTTTCGGAGCACAGAAAATTGCCAACCCTCATTTCCTGGTTGTGAATCCCAGGGATGCTTTTGGGCCGATATTCCCAATACTAAAACCGATACAACTATTAATGACAGCATAATTGTAGTATAGATTTCTAGTTAATTAGAAAACAATTGGATTATTTCTTTTAAACATGCGTTTGACATGAACTGTAATTCAAGTTTTATATTGAAAGTCACAAAATGATCAGGGTATGTGTTATAACTTTTGAAATCCAGAACAAATCTGTAAAGTGCATTGAAAAGAGCCCAAAAATCTAGTCTAAAAAGAATGAGTAAAATATTTATATAATTTGATACCTGGTATAAATTGATTGAATAACTTTTCTATTGTTTTCTAAAATTAATTAGAAATTAATATAATCCCTATAAATTATAGGCTATAATGGTTCAAAAGGATTATGTATAGAATCTAAGATTTAATTGTTTTGATAATGTTTTTCAAATAAATTATAATTATCTGTATTACAAAGAAATTGTTCAAAAACATTAACAAATATGAGATTATTAATTTAATAACAAAGTACAGTGCATAATACTTGATACTTGTCCCTGTACTAAGTACAGTGTACTTATATCTTAAATAAAGTTACTTCATATACTAGTATGTCTTAAATAGTAATTGAAATCCTATTAGTGAACGTTTCATTAAGATTATATTGAGAAAATAATTCATAATATAAACTATATATAAAAGAATTCATATTTTTACAAACTTTATAATTAATAAAAAGTTTAAAAGTTGTGACAATAAAATGTTGTCTGTTTTGCCTATATTTGCGGTGATACTAGTATTTGGTCAGTGTTTGGCTCAAGACATCTCGTGGGAACCCCGGGCCAGAGGTGACAAGTTTTGGTGGACAGACACCATGAACTCATCAATCAGACGGTCGCACATAAAACTGATGAGAAGATCATATTTGTGGGCGACTCCATCACACAGGGCTGGCAGAGCCTCGGGAAAGCTGTTTGGGACAAGTATTACGCGCCCAGACATGCATACAATTACGGCATATCGGGGGACAGGACTGAGAATGTGATCTTCAGAATACGAGACAAGGAATTCGATGGACTCAACCCCAAAGTGGCTGTCCTTATGATCGGTTAGTAATGATAATGATTTGTTAAAATCTAATTATTTATGGATTTGAAACTCAAGGCACGAATAATATCGGTTGGAATAATACGGTCGAAGACGCGGCACATGGAGTGCAAGAAGTTCTTCAGGAATTGACGGCCAAAATGTCGACCACTAAAGTCATACTACTATCCAATTTACCGCGAACTCAACCAAACGGCTCTAAATGCAAACGACTTAATGTTTTACTCAAGAAGTTTGCCGACAATAAGACTATCTTTTATCTGGACCTGTGGTCACACTATGAGACTCCGGATGGCAGACAAAAGTTTGAGCTCTTTGTCGATAAACTACATGTCAATGAGAAAGGCTTTGAGGTGTGGCAACAGACTATGGATCCGTTGCTAAACAAATTGGATCCAAACCTTTGATAAACAATTAATGAGATTAATTAACTTTATTAAAGTATATTACAATATTAATATTATCTATTTATCGCTTTTTATCGCCAGTTATAAACGACATTGAATACTTTTCATAAACAATCTTATCTTTATTTATATACAATGTTACTTTTAATGCATAATATAATGAGCTCTATTTAGTTACATTAAATTTAAATTTTTAATTAAAGAATTTAAGGTTTAAAACATAATTTTACGAAAGTTTACTAATTTTTAATTGTAATCAATAAGAATTTATTGTTAATTAAAAATAACTTAAATAAATACTCGCTCATTTTGAATTCTCTTTGAAATCCAGTTATTAGTAATTTTATCTATAATAGTATAGTTTTTGCTGTATAACTAATGATTATTAATTTACTTAAACATGATTTAGAGACAATAATTAAGATAAAATTCTACAAATACGGTTTAATAATTTTATCATGGTTAGTTCATAGATAGGACGAAATAATTGCGTATATATTAAACAAAAATTTTGTTTGCATAACTCTAAGAAATATTTAATTTTAGAGATATATTAGTCAATCAGGTGTACCAAAAATAATCAATATAATTTTTACCCAATTCAAATGATCAACACATTAATTATATTAAACAAAAATTTTGTTTGCATAACTCTAAGAAATATTTAATTTTAGAGATATATTAGTCAATCAGGTGTACCAAAAATAATCAATATAATTTTTACCCAATTCAAATGATCAACACATTAATCAACACAAAGCCGTTACTGAAACCCAATAGCGTTATAAACTAGCCATTGAAAAGTTGCATTCACTTCACTCCCACTCCCGCACACTCCTTCAGACAATTCATTGCGGGACTTCAACTCCCGCATATAAGGTTTGGCTGGACTCCCGAATCACTCCGTCAACTCCAATACAGAGTACAGGCCTTGTTCTACAGGCTGTAACACACGTAGATTCAATGCTATACGGAACGGCACTATTATTGACGCAAGCATACTTCGTGACAAAATCAATCGGGAGATCAAATATATTTTAAATAAGTGGTCAGACCACGAGGTCTAAGCACACAAAATGACCCTGACCAGGTTTGGTTAGTATAATTTTACCCGTTTGGCCGCAGTGACCAAAAGTATAAAAGCTGTTTTTGAAAAGAGTGACAAAAGTATTGACGCGTAACGAGAAATAGTTTAATTCTGGTCAGATTTCAATTTAATTGTATCGGGAGAACATAAATACATTTAATTGAGTTTATTTAAATATAAAAATATTTTAAATTGGGTCATTTGGAAATCGGGTAAGCCATGGAGCGGTACTTTGCGGTCAATGTTCGGGAGCCCCAAACAATGACCACTGAGATAATTCTGACCATTTAACCACCCGAAACTAATTTAAACAATATAATTTATTATCCCAATTAACAAAATTTTAAAATTTTAACTGAAACAGTCAAAAAACACCCCCCGATTATTTCCGAACTTACTAAATGGTGGCTCTTTCCAATGCACCTTTCACCTTTGTTCTAGACTTTTTGGTTAAAAAGTTAGAAACACTTTTACATGAAAATAGAATATCTTATTAGATCATTAAATTCGCATTTTTACTTAACGCAAATTGATGTTTCAACATTAAAAATCGGTTATAAATTAACCAAGATACAGTTGTTTTCATATAAGCTGAGTTAGAAGCATTGGTTGAAAAATTGCCATATATTTTCTATGAGAAAATCAAAAATTATCCACTTAAAACTTTAACTTTAAATATCTAAATACCAGGGTAAGATAGAAATATTAATTTATATGCCAAATTACGCATAATTTATCTGAGAATAAGATTCTGAAGTCAGAACCAAGATAGAATTTGTGGTTTTGAAGTAATCTAGCAAAAACTGTCCTAGTTATGCCTGTCCATAGCTTATATTAATTGGTCAAATTTAACAAATTAATCAATACAGAGAGTATTTAATTTTGAACAACTTAATAAAAAATTCATTCAAGTGAATACATTTAATATTAATATAATAGTAATATTAATAATAATAGAACAAGGTTTCACCTCGAATAGTGCCAGTGTTACTTTTTATTGAATTGAATAGATGTATAATATAAATTAGCAACAGGGTAATTAGCATAAGTATGACATGTTTTCATATTTACTGTTGAATCTGTCAATGGTTTCTCTAATTTGCGAATAACCTTGCTAATTTGGTTTACAATTTGAGTGAACGAAGGTCTCATTGAGGGCTCGTCTGCCCAACAGTTGAGTAAAACATAATACAACTCTTGCGGACAATACATGGGTCGAGACAAACGGCGATTGGTTTGCAAGAACTTCAAGACTTCCCAATTGTCCACTTCTGGATAGGGTGTGACACCACGTGTCAGGAGTTCCCAAACGAACACTCCGTAGGACCAGACATCCGTTTCTGAACTGAAGGTGCGTTTCAGTATGCTCTCGGGTGCCATCCATCGCACCGGTAGATTATTTTTCCGGTCACTGGGGTAAACATCGGCTTCATATACATTGGCTTCATATACATCGCGCGATAGACCAAAGTCGCCAATAATTGCATTAAAATGCGAATCTAGTAGACAATTACGTGCCGCAAGATCCCGGTGCACATACTTTTGACTCGAAAGGTATTCCATACCTAAAACGGTATTACATATTTAGGGAGATTATAATTTGGTTAATTTAAGTATATAAGTTTAACAAGTGAATTCCGCTTATTGCAAATTATTAATTTTGTAATACTTTTAGAGTATTTATATTTTGAAATCTTAAGCACGGATATAAATTTTCCCTGTTCATTGCTTAAAATATTAATTTACAAATGTTTTATTTGGAATGATATTTAGAAATACAACTAAACTTATACTAAATAACAATATAAAATTGATTAATACTTTATTTAAAGACAATGTCTAAGATAAAAGATTCTATAAGTATCCCGGATTCTACGCCAAAAGACTTAAACTTAAATAACTAACTGACCAGTTAACACATTTTTAATTTGACGAGTGGAATAGACATTACATAATCTACCCTAACCAATCCTAATTTAAGTCAACTAGCCATTGGTAGTTAGTTATTAATTTTATTATTTGGGGGCATATTATTTTATTAGTCAGACCATTTTGGCATTATTCTTTTGGGTTTAGTTATTCGGTGCTATGATAAATTCCTTGATGGATTATAAGTACTTTTTCATATGAAGTTATTCGCATATATTTTCCGTACACCTGACGACACATTGCATGGATTTCTTACAAATTTTATTCAAAATATTTTTAATTAAGTTACTCTATATTATGTAAAACTTGATATCTTTTTTCGGATCACCTTTTATTTTAGATAAATGTCCTATTTGTTAATCGTTGATATAAATTATTTAGTTCGTCATAATAAATACAACTTATTGTGTATACTCACCCTTAGCTATATCGATGGCTAATAGCATTAATTTCCTAAACGTGAGTTTGTTTTGATCATTTCGGATGTACGCCAATACATCTCCGTTCTCCATATACGGCACTATAACACATGGCATTCCCATACTGTCTATAGAGACACCGATCAGTGACAACACGTGCTTATGTCGAAAGTTTATCATCAAAAGTCCCTCAGAAACGAAACGATTGATTGCTTTCGTATCAGTTCGTGACTCTTCCCTTAGGGCTATAATTAAGGACAGTATTACTCAAAAATATAACCGTATTCCCGCGCAAATAGCGGCATACCGCTATAACCGAGTTTTATCACTTTTATAAAAACGACTTAATGACTCCCTACCGTTATCCCGTTATAAAGTGGTATAAAAATTTCATGTAATTTCTGTCGATTTTCACACAATTGGATTGTTTAATGTTAAATACTTTACTATTTTCTCACTACCACGCCAATATCTAAGAAATATTGAGCATTCTTAATAATATATTTTATAAATTCAGATATAACTATGATTTAACTGTGTATTCCCATGTTGACTTTTTAAACAGTCAAGAAATAGGACAATATTAATTATATTTGTGAATATATATATTTAAATCTAGTGATTTATATTACGCTACAGCATGTCATAATATAATTTACATTAAATAATTGTGTTGTATTTGGTAGAATTAAGTTGATTTTAACAATAATTTCACAATATTAAACAGCGGGGTAAACCGGTATTTTCATAATTTCACATTTTATCAGCATGCCGCTATTTGTGCGAAAATGCGGTAGAAATTTAAACAATTACTTTTAACAGCAACTTCGGTCCTGGTATCCAAATCTGACATATACAGTATTGCTTTGAAAACTTGTCCAAATTGACCATGGCCAACTTCTTCCCCAAATTCTATATTTCCTATACCCACTAGTTTATTATGGGATCGCAATAAAACCATGTTTTCATGAGACACTTTGCCAATAGGTAACAATTCAATGGTTTCGTCATTATCTATGAATAATAACATTTTAATTATAATCATAATGAACTTGGATATTTTACAATTTTTATAAGTGAATATCTTTATAATGACGATGAGTGATTGATTATGAATTAAATAATAATTTTGTGATATTCACTTGTATCTAATTTTAAATTTAATAATAACATATGATCTGAAATTAAGCGAATAATTTATGTTTAAATATTATTAATTTTATAATTTAAATTTACCATTGTTATCTTCTTGGAATGAATTCACACTGGAATTTGCCTTGATATCATGGTGAACATTCATTTTACGTATATATATTAATATGGATAGACCAGTCAATATTATTAATGTTATAATAACAATCACAATTAAAGCTACAAAAAATGAATTGACTGGCTCAATTGATGAATTTTGAAATAAGATGAATCCCGGACTAGAAATTAGTCAAAAATTGTTATGAACACAAAATACATTCATTAAAATTGTACAAACCTAAATATAATTGAACCCACTTTTATATTGACTTTATGTGATTTACCAATATCAAACAATGAGTTACTTTTCTGAA